TCTCTCTCTCTCTCTCTCTCTCTCTCTCTCTCTCTCTCTCTCTCTCTCACGCACGCGTGCACACCCACCCACCCAAAGTTCGTGCGTTTGTGTGAACAGCCCAAAAAAAGCACGACTCTCCCAGACTGTTTTGTTGGGCTTTCACCAACTCATCAGGAGGTTGAACCCCAACACTCTGCCCATATGATGCATTTGCGTGCATGGGTGCATGTGCGTGCGTTCGTGCGTGTGCGTGCGTGCATGTGCGTGTGTTTGTGCATGTGCTTGTTCAAGCGGGCGGGCGGGCGGGCAGCCGTGTGAGTGAGTGTTGTCTCGTTCACTATACACCGGCTCCGAGCGCCGCCAAAGACATGCGCGGGGGCCGAACTGCTGCGCCCTATAGGAGACGGCCCCCCCTGGAACCGGTTTCTCCCCACGCCTGGCAGCCCTAACTTCGGTTGCGCTGCGAATTTGTAATCTGGGCTGTTGGCCAACTGGTACCGGGCCAACAACCCCGATTGCCCCGTGATCTTAAAGTTCTAAGATTGCGGGGCAATCCGGGCCGTTGGGCCGGTAGGACCGTGAACGGCCTGGATCGCCACGAGACCTTAAAATCTTAAGATCGTGGGGCAATCCGAGCGGTCGGGCCGGTAGGTCCGCGAACGGCCCGGATGGCAAAATTCTCACATTAGTGATTTTAATTAGGGAAATACGTCGGCTCTTTCAGTCCCACTTTTCCATCGGCCATCTCTCCTCCAACGCGCCACCTCAGCATTGCACGCCGCTCTCTGACAAGTCAATGACGAAGTCTCTGTATAGGTCCCGACAACGGTGCCCAACCTCCAACCACCGTCGTGGCTCTGGACGATGGCGCAGACCATATTCAACCTCTTGGAGACCAGTGGCAGCTTCAATATTCAATATCATCAGCGCCCAGGTAAGTGCAGGTGAGCTTCCTTCTCACTCTCCTCCTCCACGCAGTCTCACAGCCCTGGTCCTCCTCGTCGCCCGCCGTTCGATTACAAATATGGTGGGAGCTGCCAGCTATGGCCGCTCTGCCAGTGTCTCCTTTTCTGGCTGGCGCTCCATCACTCTTACTGGCTCCAGTCTCCCTTCGCATTAGCCTCGTGAGCAGCAACCGGGCCACCTGAAAGCGCAAGGCAGAATGACCTCACCCAGGGCCTGGCAGTCTTCTTATTGCGTTGACCGCCGTTGAGCGCCGTTGACCAGCCTGCCCTTGACTTCGTCGATGGCCCAGATTTTTCAGATATCGATGGTCTGGATGCACAGCTGAACATAGTGACCCCTGCGTAGCTCCAACTTTCAGAAGCTTTAGCAACGGGGGCCTGCCGGCCAGGCACTCAGTTAGGCACACAGGCGGAGCGGGGGGACTTGCGCACGCTGCCAACCGTGTGCACGAGCCGGGCGAGCGGAGGGGGAGAGTGAGGGGGAGAGGGAAGCGGCACGATGCAGGCAGGCACAGGCGGGACGCAGGCGGACCCAACAAGTCCCTGGCACGTCGTGTCCCAGTTGGAACTGAAATCTTCAGGAAACCTGCAGACAGCCTTTGATGTGCATCTGATCTACGGCCGTGGTCGACTTCTGGGAGGACTTTGACTCTAGGCCTGCTTTTCCCGGACTGGGTTTCGCTCTTGATTTTCCAAGCGTCAACTGTCTCACGTAGGGGTAGAGGACACAGATTGTCACTCAGGGACTCATACCCCTTGACCCCAGGAGCTTTCTGAGACCGTTCTTGCCCTCGGGGACGTGACTTTTCAACCCCTCAATCATGACTTTGACCAAAAAGTTACGACCCTCGCTTGGACTGTGCAGATTTGAGCTGAGTTCATTGCAGTGCAAGGCAGATGAGCAATAGCGAACTTCAGCAATCAAACAGCATCATACATATGAGTCCAGATAGTCGTGACCTCGAACCAACAGCAAAATTGCATCACGAG